TCACAGAATATTAAACAATAACTATAAAATACAATATAAAAATATTTACAACGGAAATATTCCTTTATTACTTGTCATAATTTGTCAACAACAAACACGAGTAAAGGCCAGTTGGTCTGTCCTTACTGTGACCAAATGGAGTCAGTGATAGATTTTCTGTATTCATAATACATTAATTTCTGATACCCTCCACAATGTTATAAGTTCGGTCTACCTACTGCTCTATTTGAACAAGGTTGTCCTGAGATAACTTCTGTTAATGAAATTGGCGGCTATAAACAACATTATAATAATTGATATGAATTGTTGAAATTATTATGAATAATGAAAAAAAAAACTAACACTGAAACTGAAGACGAAAAATAGAAAAATAATGAGAAATAAAAACTATCTGGTACAAAATGTTGTTTTCTTGCACAGAATGAATCCTTCTTGTCATTTTCTAGATATTTTGGTATAAACAGATTATAAAATCATCTGTTAGCAGCTTGCTGATAAAGCTCATATGATAAATATTCAGTGTGTTTGTGGTGTGTTTGTGTGCAGCCGGCGCCCCCTGCTGTTGACTCTGCACACTCTGACCTCAGCACACAGCTCGATCATCCTGCAGGTAACTTTTCTCCTTAATGCTCCTTTACATCACTGACACATTGTCCACCAGCACAGTTAACAACAAACGGTGTAAAGGTAACTGTCAAACTCAAACTGAAATAAACTAATTATAATAATACTCATTAAAACTCATTAAAAACTTTTATGAGTTTTCTGAACAATGTTTTAAATTCTAAAACTCAAAGATTCATGTTTTCCTGAAGAAGAAAAGTCAATTATAGTTATTAGTTTATTAAAAAAATTAAGAGTTAAGTTTGACTTAAAGATAACCTTTTTTTTTTACAGTGCAAATAATGAAAATTCACTGTGAACAATTGTTGAAACGCAGAATTTTATGTTAGATTTCAGTTTTTTTCAGTAATTTACCTCTACAACAGATTATTATTTGGTCGTTTTAGTTTATTTCAGAACTTAAAAGTTTGAGTTTGACTTAAAGCTTTTGCCTTTAAATTTTTTTTTAAAAAGTTTTCTGAACTGTTTTTTACAGTGTTAGAGTTGTTGTTACTGATTATTGACATCAGTGTTTGATTTCTTTATTTCTTCCCATAAACATATCATCAATAATATCATATAACAACACATAATCTTTTAACAGGAGATTAAGTGATGGATGCAGCAAAATGAGATTGTGTTTGTTAAATTTCCTTCATTTTCTCCCTTCATTTAATCTCCTGTTGAATCACAACAGAAACAGCAGAAATCTTTATTATTACATCTTTATTTATTTATACCATCACATCTGTTTCTGGTTATCTGCAACTCTCTTTTAAAGTATTGTAGCTGAAATAAATCCCTTTACCTGTTGAGGGAACATTTATAATCTGTAAACTGGTTTCGAGTTCACCTGCTTAGGTGTGTTGTGACGTCCCTGCAGGTGGGACTCCTCGGAGGCAGGCGGTGACGGTGCAGAGACCCGCTGAACAGAGTTTCTCCCAGCAGTTTGTTCGTCCTCAGCAGCTGCTGGAGGGGAAGGTACACTTCTGTCTTTATACTGACTTTTGTTTGATTAATCTTTCGCTTTTTACTTCAAATTTTATTTACACAGCCAAAATCCATCAACATTCAACACCTTCTGTCCTCAGAGTCTCAATTCAGGTAAAAACTCCCCAAAAAACCTTTTAATGTGGATAAAAATGGAAGAAACCACAGAGGACGCACAGACAGGAAATACAGAGTACAGAACAAACCAACAAAATCACATTTTATACACATATCGATGACACAATTTCTGATACATAAAGATTATAATGTTCACATATAAGTGTCACAGAGTGAGATGTACTCCACCATGGAGACCTGAAGAGGAAGAACCACAGAATGGATCACAATATATAATCACTATATATACAGATTATGATAAACATATATGTAATTGTAAAACGCCAGAAAGTCGCCTAATAGGTAGAACCTGAGCCACATGACCTCCACTCTGCCTTAACCGCCAATAGAAACATTTAGCTGGTTGATGATAATAGAACAATGTCCAGAACTCCTCAAAAACATTTCTATCACCACTACAAACAAACTACAAATAATTCAGTCCCAAAGAAAGGTTATTTTATAATTTCCTGTCACATTTTTAACTGAGCAGAGCAGAGTTTCATCCACAGTGTGTTTGTACTCTGTGTTGTAGGATGCTGAGGCCATCTACCAGTGGCTGAGTGAGTTCCAGCTGGAGCAGTATACTGGGAACTTCATCAGCGCTGGTTATGATGTTCCAACCATCAGCAGGATGACTCCTGAGGTAAAGACTGCTGGATTTGGTCCAGTGGGTAACATTGAGGAGGCTCTATAGTCAGAATGATGATATAATATTCATAAGTAGGTTTTCATTAGTGTTTAATCACCTGAATATAAGAATCATTGTGTTTGCTCCTCTTCTGGTGGAGTCCGCCATGTTTCTACAGCTCAGCCCAGACTGACTCTAGGTAGTAACTTCACCACTAGATGCCACTAAATCGTACACACTGGATCTTTAAATTCATTGACACTCTTGATGAAAATTCTGATTAGCTCATGTGTCAGCTAATAAACTAGCTAGCTAGCAAAGCAGAGTGTAAATTGTGTTTTACTGGTTTCTTGTTGTTGTGGTTTAAACACTAACCTGTAAAAGTGAAGCCCCTGAATTATTCTCCACCTCATTAGTAATAATGTTTTTTTTTTCTTTGGGTTAATTTAGCTGTTTTTGTAAACCACTGTGTAAAACTGATCTGATATGAAGAGTAATGTGCTGACTGTCTGCAGGATCTGACGGCCATCGGAGTGACCAAACCAGGCCACCGCAAGAAAATCTCCATCGAGATCAGCAACCTGAACATCCCTGAGTGGCTGCCCGAGTACATCCCAGTAAGACTCCCAACAGTTTACAGCTGAACGCACTGACCTCCAAACTCTGTGATACCAACTGAACTGAGTGATCTGCTCTTTCCCACAGTCTGATCTGGGTGAGTGGCTCAGTGCCATCGGCCTCCCGCAGTACCACAAAAAACTCTCAGAAAACGGCTACGACTCCATCAGCATTGTCAAAGACCTTACATGGGAGGACCTGCAGGAGATCGGCATCACCAAGCTGGGTGAGGACTCACTGTATGTTCACATTCTGGCAGTCTAACTGTTGGACCAGTGTTTTTAACGTTGGTATTATGGTTGAATTTTCCCTCCAGGCCACCAGAAGAAGCTGATGCTGGCAGTGAAGAAGCTGTGTGACATCCAGAGGGCGATCCTTCAGGCCGAATCAGGCCAAGGAACGCTGCGTCGCAAAGGCCCCGGAGCCCTGCACCTGGTCACCATTGAGCCGCCTGACACAACAGGTGAATGCTCCTCTCCTCACACCCCAAAGATGCTGACCTTCCAGGACAGCGAACTGAGCGCTGAGCTGCAGACGGCCATGTCCAGCCACTATGGAGGCTGCGAGGAAGGCTTTGCCATCAAGAACGCTGTGGGAATGTCCCAGAGCCAGGAGAGCATTGACACCCGGTCCAGAGGCTCTGGGCGCTCCCAGGAGCCCCCCACGGCTTCCATCTCCCCCCACAGCTGGTCTCAGGAGAGTCTGGATGGCAGCCCCGCCAAGGAGAGGAACCTCCCCGAGGGCTGGGACCAGAGGCCTCTGCAGCAGCAGCCGCTGCCCAAGCAGGTGCCTCTGGGCACAGCAACCGTATTTAAGTACCCGGCAATCCCAGCCAAGCCCAAACTGTCTGGATCTCGCGGTCCCTCACCTCATGGCTCCCCAGCATTGAAGGGTTTCAGCTACCTGCATTCTCATTGTGGCTCCACAGACCTGAGCTCATCGTCCAGGCCTGAGGGCCACTCCATGACTCTGACACCGCCCAAGAAGCGCACCCAGAGCATGACCCGCTACGCTCTGTCGGATGGAGAGCCCGATGAGGACGACGACGATTCGGCGTTTCCTTCTGGAAACCTGTCGTCCTATGCCACCTTGACCCGCAAACCTGGTCGCAGCCAGCTGGCCCGATTACAGTCGAGTCCAGAAAAGAACGGCAACGTGGGACGCAGTCAGTCCTTTGCAGTGCGTGCCCGGAAAAAAGGTCCGCCTCCTCCTCCTCCAAAGAGGCTGAGCTCAGTGAGCAGCACCACCAGCGGGGAGCTGAGCGACAGCAGCACAACGTCGTCTGCTTGCGGGGCGGTCACAGACAGTCCAGTGAGCGTGAGAAGCATCGCAGCCTCTTTAGAAGGCAGGACAGAGATGAAGAACCCACCAGGGCCTAAACCAGATCTCATTCAGCAGGAGCCGCCTTCCCCCTCCCACAACCCTGCAGGGCAGGAACCCCGAGAGGCTGCTGGGGTGAGGAGGAGGGTGCAGAGTGAGTACATTCCCACCCAGATCAGCAGCAGCACTGAACCAGATCGAGGAGTGAAGTCTGACTCCGAGGAAGAAGAATCAAAAGGTCGCGGGCTGGAGGGTTCCTCATCCCCTCAGAACAGCTCCAGTGAGTGCATCCCCTTCGCTGAGGAGGGCAACTTGACCATCAAACAGAGACCCAAAGCTCCGGGGCCACCCAGGGCCGAGGCTGTGCTGGAGCCTCTAGAGAAACCAGCAGCCAAGAACCTGGAGGTGCCCGAGTTTAACCTGAAGGAATCGGACACAGTGAAGCGCCGGCACAAACCTAAAGACAAGGAACAGGGAGGAGGCTCCCCCAGCAGAGAGGGAGCAGCTGAGTCAGAGTCCGGCAGCAGCAGACCTCCGTCCCAGAGCCAGGAGGTCAGTCTGAGGATCAGTGAGGCCAGTTTGGAGAGGCCAGCCAGTCCAGCAACAGGATCTCCCATTAAACCTCCCCTCTCTCCAAAACCTCCTGCTGTTGCCCCAAAACCTGTCCGCCACAGTCTGCTGGCAGCACAAGGTGAGATACTAACAGTGGTCTTGATGTGTATTTGAAGACAATTTAGATAGAAAATTCTTGTTCTTGATAAAAAGGACTCACTAGTTCTGACTGAACCTCCACCTCACCTGAACCAAAGATGGCTGTACAGTATCTGACTAGAGCAGGTTAAAATTATTAAGGACTTTTTAGTGAAAAACAATTTCCATTTTTGACCAAACATTGAACTTTGACTTGTTGCTTGGCGTCGGATGTATTTCTTTTAGGACTTCTATCTTTTGAGCTCTGAATGTGGGACCTGTGTGGTTTGACTTTAGACTTAATTTGGGACTTTTTGGTTTTGAGAAGGAACTTTGTCAAGTACTACATACTTGACAAAGTTCCCTAACTCTTGACTTGGAACTTGTAGCTTCTTGATTTGGGACTTGTTACTCTTAACTATGTACTTGTTGGTCTTGCCTTGAGACGTGACTTTGAACTTGGAACGGGTTGATCTTGACTTGGGACTTACGATTATTATTGTTTGACTTGGACTTGTTGGTTTCTTACCTGCTGTTGTCTCTTCAGCAGCTGGAACTTCCTCTCCATCTGTGACCGTCACCGGGGTTCAAAGTGTGGCCTTCAGCTCTCCGTCCTCTCCCGCTCACGGGCCCCTGGCTCCAGCTCCGGCTCCTCAGGCCCCTCAGAGTCCCTCACTGAGAGCGGCGATGCCTCATGTGTGTGTGGTGGGTCCGGGTCTCATCCCTGAGTCATCCTGCGGGACTGAGGTGGTTCAGCAGAGACTGGATCAGACCAGCACGTCTCTGGAAGCAGCTCTGATGGCCGTCGAAAGAAAACTGAACCTGGAAGACAACTCAGACAGGTTAGACCTTGTTGTCTTTAAGTTCCTCTGTTGTTTGGTGTTTCATCATGTTGACCTGCTTGGTCGGGTGATGCTGATATCCATCCAACAGTTTATTTCAAAACTAAATATCTTAAAAACTGGTGGCAGGTTACAGATTATTGTGATCACATCTGGACGAATCTTTAGGTTCCTCAGATAAACCGACGGTTCTCAACCTTTGTTACGACCCTTCATCACAGCTTATGCTCTCGGTTTGGACGTAAAAAGATATTCCCAAGACTGAGTTTGTACTTTATCTCTTTAATAATCTTTGGTACAACCGATCAAGGCAGCGATAGACCAGCAACTCTTCACGAACTAGTCACAAATTCTCAGAAAACTCGACCTTGTTTCGAGTGATTCGTCACTTTTTCGCTGTGTAATATTCACGTTCTCTCAGTAATGTTGTATTAATATGTATTTTCCTGTTTTCCCACCAGTGGGCCGAACACGGTGAAGTCCGCAGGGACAATTCTGGACGACATCGGCAACATGTTTGACGACCTGGCCGACCAGCTGGACGCCATGTTGGACTGAAGACTTTTTGAATAGTCAGAATATTCACCCTCAACCTCAGGAAGTGAAACAGAGACAGACAAAACGGGGAAACAGGCTGTTTGTCCTCACCCCTCTGCTCTGAACAACACGACGGACGCGGTCGGAGAAGCGAAAACACTCGTCTGGTTTCTCAGCCCGAACACCAGCACTTAACCTCCGCTGTGCTTCCTCCATGAGGTCCTTCGCTCACATTTCTAACAGACAGTTGAATCTGGTTACTGAACGGATGAACGGCCCTTTTTTAACCTTTTTAAGTCGTGTTGTGGTATCCTATCAAACATGAACCAAACAAAGAAGAAGAAGTTGGACCAGCGGTTTGTTATCAGCCCACAGATTATTATGATTCTTGTTATACACTAATATTGTAACATGAAGTTTTATCTTTTTGACATTATACAGAGCCGAGTCCTGACCTCACTTCCTGTCCAGCATCTGTTTCACTAACGTCTGTAACTCAATCTGTTCCTGGATTTAACACTTATTTAATATCTAAAAGTACATTTAACTATTAATTACGTTGCCTGTAAGAAATGTCAACTTCCAGCAGTTTTGTTGTTGTTTCTCCCGTATTAAACTAAATGTGTTGTGGTTGTTTTGTTTCAGGTAAAGGTGAGACAGTGAAATACAATCCAGGAAGTCCAGTGTTAGTAACAGATCCAAGAGAACATAGAAGTTTATGATATCAGTATTACAAACCTCTGAAACTCATAGTAGCTTTTAAATGATCCTTTCATCACCAGGAAAACAGTAGATCTGTCAAATTACAAAGTATTCTAGTGTTCAAAATGTCCTTAAAATAATATTTAAAGCTTTTATATGTCATTAAACTGTAGCTAACAGGACCCACTCAGTTGGAGAGAGAAGGCACTTGGGAGCCCATTAAAGGTCACATCCTTTTGACCCCTCTACATCCCTCACACCAGAAAACATAGAAATCAGTCCACAGGCAGCAGTTATTATATCATCATTATTATTATTATTATATAAAATACAAACAGAGAACCGCAGTTACGTTTCGAAGCTGATTTTTAGTTGTTTGTGTCATAAATGTGATTTTTCCTCCTGGTGGAACAGAACCTGGACTCGGCTCTTTATTCATCGTGTCTGACCATTTCAAATTTTACCTTTTGTAATATTTAAAAACAAAAAAAATCTATTTTATACCAAGTGATCTTAACCACGTGTAGTCAGTCTTCCACTCGGCTCGGCGACGACGTGTTCGTGTTGTTCAAAGTGTTTATGAAGCTGTAAAAGTGCTCAGAGATACAAAGGGAAGCATGTTCAGCTCAGTGTACAGTGGAAGACAGTGTCAGCGATATACATATTATTTTTTGATATTCATTGTTAGCCAAATTAGTATTTAAATTAGAGTTATCTAAATATGTATATTGTACACTAGAGGTATATACAGGAGCAGATATTCAACCAAAGTCTTTGTACAAATGTTCCTCAGATATTTTCACAAACATTTCCTTTAAAGAAAACCCCTGAACTCTTCCTGTTTATTGTATTGATTAATGTTGGATCCATATTTAGCATGACCTCGCTCTGTGTGAATGACCTCTCAGGAAAACTCCCTCCTGACCCGAACACGTCGGCTCGTCCTCGCAGTGCCGGAGGACATAAAACGCAGCATTAAAAAGAAATTAAAACATTCTTCTATGTATTTCTGTATAATATATGCATTTACTTTGTCATAATTAAATGAAAAACATTTGGTAAAAGGAGAAGTGTTTGTGCTTTTTGTCTTTAATATCTGGATGAATGAATTATGAGATATTTTACAGGAAGAAGTTTCTGCACCAAAAAACAGTTGATAAAACTCAAAGTTTAAAGGAAACTTCACTAAATGTTTTAGTTTTAAATGAAACGAACTTTAAAGTTCTGAAATAAAAAATGTTTTGCAGACATAATAATAATCTGTTGTTGAGATAACTTAAAATAACTTTTCTTCTTTAGAAAAACAAATAAAAACTTTTTTTTTAATAATTAAATAGCTGCAATTGAAAATATTAAATAAACCGTTTTTAACTTTGAGTTTTCTGAACATTTTTTTAAATAAAAAGTTTTTGTTCTTAAAACTTAAAGATTTGTGTTTTTAATAATAATAATAATAAATAATAATAATAAAAAAGTAAATAATCATTAATATCAGTTTATTTAAAAACTTAAAGGAGTTTGAATGTAAGTTGTTGTAGACAGTTCTCTCTCAGCTTTTTTTACTTTTATTCTTTAAAAAACATAAATCTTTAAAACATAAAGTTTTTTTGAAATTCAGAATTTTTTGTTTCTGAAATTGTCACATAATCTCTGAACAGGATGGCAAAATGTGTTTTTTTTTTTTTCTCCCTTTATGTAAAGAAATTAAAACACAAAGAAACTGAAACCAACCTTTCATCTCTTCCAGTCTTTGCCTTTAAATTATGAGGTTTTTTTTATTACAGTAAATTCATATTAATCTCGTAGTCTAATGATGTTTTTTAACCCTTTTATTAATTCTAACATTAGTTAGGGATTATATTACATAGATGGTTTCTCTTTCAGAAAAGCTTCATAGTGATGAAGTTATGGAGCCCATTGGCAGCATTGGGCTTCCATAATCAGGTGACCAACTCAGTTTAGTAAATAAGTAAATAATAATAAGATAATATAATAAATAATACGTGAATAAACTTTATGTTACTCATCCATGAGAGACCAGCAGATGTCGTCATTCTCTGTGCATCACACGTCAGAGGCGGTATTCCCTACGTCATCCCAACACGTTAAACGTAAATAAAGGATAAGTACATGAGTCACTGCCTATAGATGTATAATAGAGCTATAATAGATCAATAAACGTATAGATTAACACCCTCCTGACTGTGACGTGCGGTCTGACGCAGCGCTGCAGTCGGTAAACCACGTGACACTGATCTATTTTCCGGGATCAGTCAACGCCCCCCCCCCTCCTGCAGCTGTTTGGATGTTGGTGCGGTTGGACACCGACCCAGTGTGAGTCAGGACCCAGTCTGAGCTGCCTGCCTCCCGCACACCGCTCCACAGCCTCACGGGGACGAGGTAAGAACTCTGGAGCTGCTTCAGCAGAACTCCACCTGGAAATCTCTCAATTTAAAACTTCCGTACTTATCAGCGTTTACCTGTGCACGGTATGATGCATATTAAAATGTTTTTCTGAATAAATATGATCTGAACTTTAAATCGGCTGACATCATACGCTTTACTTTAACAACTGTTTGTCTTATGCTAGAAACCAGGAGCTACTTCAGTGGGTGGCAGAACTGCGCTCTAAAAAAACACAATTTACAACTTCCTTATTTATGGGCGAATATCTGTGCACGATATGATACCTATTAATATGTTCATCTAAATGAATATGAGCTGAACTTTGAATCGGCACACATTATGCTCTTTATTTGAAAAATAAACAGCGTTAACAACTGTTTTTCTTCTGCTAACAGCGTCTATCAGTGGAAGGGAGTGACTTTATAGTATATGCTGAAACTAGGACTTCTTGGTGTTTATCAGTGACGCCGAAATCTTCACAGCTTCCTTTTCATCCCTTTAATAATAATATTAATGCACTGCGAGGTGTGAGCACAGCCTAAACAGAGGGGGTGAGATTAAATATATAAGATTTGTAAAGGGAGTTTGGTGCCAGGTTCTCTCCTTAAACACAAGAGGTTGCCAGGGCGTCCAGGTCTAGAAAAACCAGGAAGTGCAGTCTCCAGGTAATTAACTGTCATGTTTGTTGTTTGTGCTTTAAGTGAAGCTCAGACCGCAGTGAGAACCAGTCCAGACGGTCTGAGACTACAGAATGGGCTCAGAGCTGCTGTTTAATGTCCTTATTGTTTGTAATGAAGAAGCAGGAAGAGGCCTCATCTTCCTCCTGAATCACAGTTTCCATTTCTGTGGTTGAGTTTGACCCATATTTAAACTGCTTCAACCTACAATCTGTAACATTTCCACATTAAAGTGTCTCTAAACAACAGATCTACATTATATATTAAAGTTTATTCTGCTGCTAGAGACTCACTAACATCCAAACAACAACAGTTTGATGAGGCGGTGAAGCAGCGTGGGATTATGGGAGTTCTTAACCGTTGCAGTTGTTCAATGTGAATTAAACTCACTTTACTAACAGACTTGTTGAAGCAGGTTTCAGTGAATTTAAATGTGCAGTATTTTAAGTTTTGGTGATATAATCTCAGTTTGTTGGTAACATTTGTATAAAGAATAAAAATCTATTAAAGTTATTTTATTAAGATAAATAACACATAAATTGAGAGAAATGCTGCGTGTGAATGTTTTATATTTACTAGTTTTATTGTTCAATCAACTGAATGAAGTTATTTGAGTAGAAGTAACTCAAGTATTTATTCTTTAGTTAACTTTGGTAAATTAAGTTAAATTGTACTAATTTCATTCAGTTAATTGAAGTTAAACTCATATGGAGTGTTTCTCCAAACTTATTTAAAATGATCAACAGAATTTATCTGAATAAAGTCACTTAAATGAATCTTCTTTATATAAATATTACATTTATTCAGTTTTTTTCCAATAAAGCAAATTATTACATCACAAACAGCTTACGGACAACAAAAGCAATTTATAATTAATTAATTATCAAAGTTGTAGCTGATTAATTTTCTGTAATTTTTTATGTGACAAACATCAAATCTTTACACTTTGGGGATCAATCAGGATTATTTGGATGCATATTTGGGTTTATGGTTATTAATCAACTGAAATAAAAAAAATAAAAAATATCAACTTAAAGAAAATTAAGTTCACTCAAAACAATTATTATTATAATAAAACCTCATATTTCACGTTCTGTCAGATAAACAAGGAGAATATTTCTGGCTGGACGTAAAGAAAGACTCCAGTAAAGTGTCTAAAATTTAGACTGAGACATTACTGAGACATTTACTCGAGTATTTAGAGTCTGAATACTCGAGTAAATGTCTCAGTTACCGGTTACTGACAGTGACAGACTGGAGACTTTGTACTTTGTGTAGCAGGCGTGTCTGTGTTCATTCCTGATGTTTAACAGCCAGTTTACGTCTCACAGAAACTCATTTATCTCCCAGCAGCAGCTCGAAGCTCATACGACCTTTCAGAGTAAAACACGTCTCCTTTTGTTCCTTTGTGCTTTTAACGCTCAGCTTTTTCTCTGGGTCATGTTTCAACTTTGAGCTTCATTCCTTCCGATCATTCAATTATTCGACGTAGGAATCGACTGATGTGTTCGTATACAGAAACTGTTTCCTTTCACAGCAGCTTTTATAAAAAATAGGATGTTTTCCTGCCAGTTGGCACATTTCCAACCATTATAAACCGATATAACCAGATAATTAAACAGCATTGACGCTGAAAACCTGCGGAGAACGACTCTTTTCCACACAGAAAACTGATCAGGAATCAATAAGAGGATAAAATACTAATCAGACTGATAAGCAGACTCAATAATGGTATCAAGTCCCATCCTTACTTGTTCCAGTGAGAAAAAAAATCACTTTTGTTTATTTCGAAACTTAAAGTGAAACATTTAGTGCAGGAAGTTGAGTTTAAATTCTAGTTTCTAGTTGAGTTTTCTTGACAGTTTTAAGACTTCTTTTAAGAAGTCTCGTATCTTTTAGTGTCTGACGTCACTGTCGGTCTCTCTGCAGTATTGAGTTCAGATCATGTCTAAGAAAGGAGGAAACCGCGGCCCGGAGGTCGAAGGGATGGTGGAGGCCTCCATCATCCGGATCCCGCCCCACCACTACATCCACGTGTTGGACCAGAACACCAACATCGCCCGGGTGGAGATCGGACCGCTCACGTACATCCGCCAGGACAATGAACGGTAACATAATTTAGTTTAAATAGAATTGATAAATATTATTTATTGTTTGGAAGCTTGAACCGTCTGCAACCATCCGTACAACTGATCACACTAAGGAAATACATTAACTGTGTATATATTATATCAAATATTAAGGAGCTCGCTGATTGTATCCCTCGGGCAGATCTTGTTGAGTGAGGGGTTTTTAAAAGACACCACTGTAAGCAAATCATGTGACGGAGTATTGATTTCATCATTGATTGGTCGAATACATTTACTGTTCTCAGCCTCAGAGATACTGTTAACTCAAAGTACAGGTTTACTGATGTAAGAGCGTGTTCTAATCTGTACATTTTATTAATTTCATTCAGAGAAAATGTCAGGCTGCAACTTATTTTCATTATATGTCAGTAAATATGTCAATTATTATTATTTTATTTCATCATTTCGCCTTAAAATAGTGTAAAAATATTCACGATAACTGCTTCTTAATCAATATTGATTAAAATATTTTGCAATAAAAAAAAAACCCCACAACCTGCCGGACTCTAATTTTAATTAAAATCCTCTTCTTCTAGATCTCGTTAACATACTTGACTTTAAGCTTGTTACACTTAGCATTAGCATGTTTAGATATAGCATTAACATGCTAGTATGATGACGGTACTGAGGGGTTCATTGGGGTACTTGAACTGGAGCCAGGCTAGCTGTTTCCCCCTGCTGCCAGTCTGTATGCTAAGCTAGGCTAACGTCCTGACTCCAGCTCTGTACTGTACAGTCATGAGAACATCTCGCTGTCGGAAACAAAGAGAAAAGTTAAACGACAAACCAAAAGCTGAAAGTACACACTGAACCTTTTTAAAGTAATAAAGGGACATTCACACAATATATTTACCTGTTTATTGTTTATTGTTTATTGATTATTGATTTATTTAGTGTCCATTAAAGTAACAGCCCTTTAAATCCGGTCTTTACTCTTCCTCAGGGTTCTGTTTTTACCCGTCCGTATGGTCATGGTGCCGCCGCGCCACTACTGCGTGGTCCTGAACCCGGTGGCCCGCGACGATGATAAGCAGGTCCTCTTCGACCAGTCGGGTCAGGCCAAGCTCCGCCACGCCGACCTTGAGATCCGTCTGACCCAGGACCCGTTCCCCCTGTACCCCGGGGAGGAGATCCAGCAGGTCAGTGACCCTCTGGTTTATTCACAGTCTGATGTCAAGATACTTCGTCATTCGCTGTTGTTGAGTATTAACGAACAGGATTTGTGTTCCAGGACGTGACTCCGCTGCAGATCGTGTATCCGGACACGGCACTGCGTCTGCAGGCTCTGCTGGACTTCGATGAGCGGGGAGGAGAGAAGAGAGTCGCTGGAGACGAGTGGCTGTTTGAAGGACCAGGTTGGTTTTTCACTAAAACATCTAAAAATGCAGGAACGGATTATCAGTAGAGGAAGCTCTCTTTAATACATCTGAAAGTGAATCAGTTCTGATGATTTCATGAGAAGGGGTGTTGTTGCAGGGACGTACATCCCCAGGAAGGAGGTGGCGGTGCTGGAGACCATTAAGGCCACGGTGATCAGAGAGAACCAGGCCATCAGACTGAGAGCACGCAAAGAGGGAGTGGACAGAGGAGGCGTCCGCAGAGTCACAGGTAACACGCCCCGGCTCCCACCTGTCCTGGAAAACCTGGGAAATCAAATACTGGTGTAGAAATACGGTTAGAAGTAAAACTGCATTAAAAGTTTATATATATGTAATTCACTGGCACTAGTGGCCCACCAGACTCCATTTAAAAAAACAGTAATTTTACCTAAAACACTTTAAAGTGGACAGAAACAGAATAAAACTCAGAGGAACCAAGTTGCAATGCTATCTGATAATATTAATTATTAGATTTATAGTTGTTGGGTAATAAATTGGAATTGATCTGATCTGTTACTTCGGGTTTAATCAGGTGAGGAGTGGCTGGTGAGGAAGGTGGGAGCGTACCTTCCAGGAGCTCACGAGGAGGTCATCGACATTGTAAATGCTTTCATCCTGACTGACAAGGTGAGTCTGGATCGTTGTAGAAAATAAACTCTGTGTGGGAACAAAGGTTTATGAAGCTTACTTGTGATAATCTTCACAAATGACTGCCCTTTTATGAGTTTTGAAGCGTAAATGTGATTATTAGCAGTAAAAAGTTAACGTTAGGCTTTATAGGAACTACGGCATAGGTCACATACGTAGAAAACCTATTCACAGATAATGAACAAAATGCTGAGATATAGGCACAGAGTATACTGACAGAGGCTTCACTCTGATAAACCAGCCCGCAGTCCTGAAATACTTAGTGTGTGTGTTTATGTGTAAATGGTGTATATGTGTATAATATATATATATTATATAAATACAAATACAAATACAAATTCAAAGAATTTAATAAAAATATCATGAAAACTCATCTCTAAACTAATCTGCTCAAAATTCATCTAGATCCTATTGAATATATGAAATATCCATAAAATATGTTACTTAAGTCAAAGGTCCACTGTTGAGTCCCTTAAGAATAAAGATTGGGAACATCATTTTAACAACAACTGAATGATTATAACCACAATCCTTGTGAACAGGACAAATTTAAACAAAACAAGTATAAAATATGAGCGAACTGTAATTGGTGTAATTTAATTTGAGCTGAAACTATCACAGGAACAGTTTTATCATCATTAGGACTCATTTGGTGATGATACATTCAACGAGGCCGTCTTACATCGGGCACATCGGCTCTAAACGTTTCCCTTGTCGCCCTCAGAAAGCGCTTCATGTCCGCGCCGTGCGGGCCTTCAAGGACGCCGGCGGGCGGGACCGGCGTACGGGCGAGGAGTGGCTCGTCACCATGGCCGACAGGGAGGCCCACATCCCCTCTGTGTCGGAGGAGGTGGTCGGGGTGGTGAATGTGACCACTCTGAGCAGCAGGCAGTACTGTGTGGTCCTGGACCCGGTCGGACCCGACGGGAAACCTCAGCTGGGGCAGAAGAGGGTGGTGAAGGTGAGGAGAACCGTCCATCCTCCAGCTTCTTTCACTGAAATCTCCTTTAACTGAACTAACTTCCCTTTTCTCTTGGACTTTTTCTCTCCGTCAGGGCGAGCGCTCATTTTTCCTGCAGCCGGGTGAGCACCTTGAACAGGGCATCCAGGACGTGTACGTGCTGTCGGAGGAGGAGGGTCTGGTGCTGAGAGCTGTGGAGGCCTTCAACGACACCGAGGAGGTGAGGAGGAAACGGTCTGCTGCTGTACTGTGGCGGGAAAAGTAGTATCACTACAGTGTAGAGATAGAGTTACAAGTCCGGCTTTCAAAGGTTTTATATACGAAACTCACTGCTGCTGGATGTCGCACTACAGCACCAACATCTCAGACCAAAACAATGAGCGCTACAACCCACCAGAGTCCATCTAAAAACTAGTGATTTAACCTAAAACACTATAGAACTGCACAGAAACAACTAATTCACCGACATAGATGATAAAATACTCTCTTGCTCTGTTATATATTTACACCGATCAGCACTAACATTATGAGCACTGGACTCCCTGACTGGTCCCAGACCAACAGACTGCTCTGCACTGTGTGTTCTCTATCAGGAACCAGCATTAACCATTTTCCAGCAGGTTTTGAGCTACCTGTTTACCCTCGTCTAGATTGGGTCGGACCACACGGGCAGCCTTCACTCCCCACCTGCATCAATGACCCTGTCTCTGGTTCTGTTCCTTCCTTGGACCACTTTTGATACGTACTGACCTCTGCAGACCAGGAACTTCCCACAAGAGCTGCAGGTTTGGAGATGTTCTGACCCAGTCGTCACATCACAATATGACACATATAACACATCAACTACTAGAGGACCAAATGTTCACTGTCTGCCTGATATATCCCCCCACTGACAGGAGCCCTGATAACCAGATAATCAGTGTTATTCACTGTCAGTGCTCATAATAATCGGTGTATATGACAGCTATACTTGTTCTTTAATTGATGTGAACTGTCTTTTAGTATCATGAAAAGAATCTTAATAAAATTAAGATTTTATTATTACAGATTCAGCAAAGTATATACAGTTAAATATATTATATTATATAATATTTATATAGTTAAAGTGATCTTCACCTTCAGCTTCACCATTAATGATGCTTATACATTAATGCACTGGTTCCCAACCTGGGGGTCGGGACCTCCACTAGGGGTCGCGTGGCCTTCTTGATTTTACAGGAAGTAAGAAATCTTTTTATTTAAATACAGAGGAGGCCAATAGCAGTTCTGTGAAGAAAACTAAACGTTGTAATAATAATATAATAACATTATATAAATGTAATATTTTGTAATATTAAGGAGCCTTCACTCTCTATTAAACAGCCTCAAGCTGCATTAGAACAATGAGACGAAAACACAGAATTTGTCAAAAAAGAAGCCTATTACACATTTATGGTTGTTAAAAAAAATACATATTACATACAGAGAATTGTAATAAAAATTACTAAAAATATCAGGAAAACTCAACTCTGATCAATATTCACAGGAAATAATCTGCTCAAAATTCATCCAAATCTCTCATTTTACATAATCTTCCTACAGTTACTGAATTCACTATTTGTGTTCACTGTACAGTTATTGTTATATACTCAATTTAACATGAAATATCCACAAAATATGTCATTTAGTCAGTTTATTAAATGATAAAAAAGGCTGTGAACGACTGCATTAATGCATAAATAATTAAATATTCGTCCGTTAACGTCGATCATAATGGAGGTAGAGCGTAATGTTGCTGCTGTAACTTCTAACTCTCAGTCAGGG